TGGAAGACATTATGGTAAATAGAAATAAGAAGATACTAATTAAAAGTTAAATTAGTTACTTTAATATTAATAGCTGCTATCCTAAAATGGACTCTGTAAGTAGAAAATATAAACTAGGTTTCCGCCTGCGGCTTCGCCCACGTGAAATTTATTAAGAAGACGGGCACATTGCATTTGCAAAATTCTATTAATATCAATATTATAGGAATTTAGCGCACCCTTTCACCACTTTTAGAAATTTCCCGATAAACTTACATATATCACAGAAGTTTGTACATACAAATTAAATTCTATATTCAAATTTATTTGTCACATAGCAGCCATACAGGTATTATGAAACAAATCTACAAACTCCATAATGCAAAGTCGCTTTCCCTGTCCCTATATCCCTATGCATGCTTAAATTTTTAAAACTACGATTCGGATTTTGATGTTGTTTTCTTATTAGACTATATTTTTTTAATAGATAGAGCTAGTAAGATTATAAAAAGCTAGAGAGCTCTTCGTTTTAATACGCTCATCTGAGCCACAACAGGTTAAAATGTTTTGTTTTTTTGTTATAGTCCATTAATAGAGAAAACCGTATAGGTTTTCCGTATACGTGTGTATACATCACGCTAAGTCAAGGCAGTTGAGTAGCGGATGTAATCGCTACTACTTAATGATTTTTCTAGTGAGAAACATACATAGGTATAGCACCTGATAAACTCTAATATTGTATTTTTTTTATAATTGTACCTGTACTTTTTAAGCAGTCGGAACCTCTTCGGTACAAAAAAGAAAGTATGTTTATCCCTTACTAGCGGACCACCCCAGCTTCGCATACATACGTCATACGCATAGTCCAACTACCTTGGTGTCAGTCATTTGTTTTGTTAGCAAACCACGCATTGAAAGGGTCCATATCTCCCAATTGTTTTCTCTACTTTTCTGAAATATCCTTTCATAAAAAACCCTCTCTTAACAAAAACAAACAAAACAAAATAAGAATTGGTAAAATTGGTCCAGGCGTTCTAAGGTTGTATGTACGTACCAATACATTTTTATCTATGTATAGACTAGCTTCTTTCGCGCGGTTTCGCCTGCTACTCTACCCACTGCATGGTCGTAGCGTGATAATTTATAGCATATAGGCTGGTAGTATAGTTCATTTATCGAGGAAGGCTATATATATAGGCCTTCCTCTTAAAACACAAAAACAATTGCTCAATTTGAATTAGCAGCAAAAGAGACAAAGTTTTCAAATACTTAAGGATTGGAGGGGGTTGGGGGAGGGGTAGAATTGAGCCTCCGGTAACCTCACTCACACGGCGTAACACAACGTGTGGTTCTTTCACGCCGATTTTTTTGAGGCCGTGGTATCACTCCAGTCGAGTCAGCCCATTCATGCTGAAACCAGGCTCTCCCAAACTTAAATGTATTATGTGCTTATATGTACATATAAATAGAACCTATGTATTTAAGATAGCAAAAGTACCACCGTATCAGACACGAACAACAAGAGTGTGGGATAGTATAATAAGTATCATGTTTTGTGGCAGGATTAGTGAAATGGACGCGCTGCTGTTTGCGTTGTCGTTCGAGGTGGTTTTACTGCAAATGAAGATTTTAGGTGAGCACCCTACCTGTCTTCTATTAACAAGACTTTTTTATTTTTATTCTTATTTCAAAAAAGGTGATACCCACTCGTATTCACGTAAGTAGGTAGCTATTTATTTTTTAACGATTTTTTTAAATTGGATTTCTTTTATTATTTAAAGCATCTAAGTATTTTATGCATCCAAAGCGAAGTGTGGGTGCTTCTGGATATACCTATGCATATTCAAATATTATCAATATTGATAAAAGTGTATGTGACCGGATTGCCTCTTAAGGTGGCTTCATATGTTCTTATCTTTATCGTGAAATTAGTTTTTTTTAACAAAGCTTTCTGGTGTTACAAAGCCTGGAATAGGTTTTTACGGGTGACAATTAAAATTATAATTGAATAACAAATAAAACACTGACAAGCAAAACAAAATGGTATTGGTAATCATTAATTTAAGAGCAGTAAGAAAAAAGATAAAAAGAATTCAATAATAAAAAACGTGGTCGCACCGGAGCGACATTAGCTTGTCAGGTCAATACCAAATAATAAAAAAATGAAAGTAAAAAACAAATTACTTATATTTATATAAATAATAAAAACAAATATTACGTCACGCCCAAAACAAAAAGGCTAATATTATAATTCATCTACAACTCTACATTAAAATAAGGCACCGCGGCCTCGGCCTAGAGCAGGAGTCATCCGTTCCTTACGGATGAGTTTTTAGTCTCTAGAGATTAAGAAGTCAATTGATGATTTTCCGCCACAATAAAACTTAGTGCAAATAATTATCGAAGTACCTGCTGTACATGCAAATCAGATGTATAAAAAAAACAAATGACAATTTATTGACCTCACTGACGTTTGATTAAGAAGAATTGAAGAACAATTGCATATATTATATCGTGGACTTCTTCTGTATAAATATTACAAAAATTCAAAATTCATATAAAATTGTTTCTTCAACTCAATTCAAACTACTTAAATTATGAATAAATTTCCTGAAACAAACAATTCCTAGTAGGCGCAAGTGTGTTTGTGCGTGATTAAACACAGATAAAAAATCGCACAATATGATTATGAGGCAGTAGTCCGCCAGGCATTATGATCAACTTATTTGTTCGAACGATCCTCCTTTTTCAGATCTTTGAACACTTTACTGTCTGTTCCCTTAATACCTACCTACTGCTTACAGATTATGACATGTCACGTAGGTACACACTAGAGATACGAGACACGAGACAGTATCACATCTTTTACAAAGTGATACCCCTTTAGGGAAAAGGTTTATCGAAATACCTTTCTACAGTATGTATAACGCCATGTGAATTAATTGAGAAATGCTCTACTAGTTTCAAGTCACTACGGGACTCTTATTCATGAGCAGCGTGCACGTCGCGGCGGCAAACTAAGTACCAACGAGTCGGCAACTAACTTGAAACTTGTACAGCTCTTTTAAATTAATTCACGTGTTTAAGATGATTCGTTATTTTTCAATAAATTTACAAAATTATGTAGGTACGACTCTTAGTAAGATAACTACACACGATTGAATCAGAATTAGGTGTAAATAATAATAGTAAAACTATTCAAAAAATAGCTTTTTTTTATTCCAAATTTCAATTAAATTAAAAGTAAGCGGATCATATGAAGACGCTCGACAGCAGAAGAGTTACCTGTGCGTTCCCGACCTTTGAGGAACAGAGTTAGTAGATAACTACAATTACGGCGATTTATATATATGTAGATGTTTTTTTGATGACGTTTTTTTCTTCAGAAATAGGTAAAATATAAGATTCATTTAAATATAGGTACGAAGTTGTGTCAAATTTCGTCTCCTGCGTCCATTTATTATTTTTTATTGGGTAAGGTACCTATCCGGAACCTCTGACTACCTGAACGCTTTTAGGTTATTTTTTAGCAAAACCACAAGTTGTGTTCCGATCCAGTTTTACCAAAACTATTTCGAGGGCCGGTTAATTAATTGAGCTTTATTTTTGCAAATTCATTGGTCATTCAACCGAGATCACATCTAACATAGGTAAATGCTGAGAGTTCCTGTCCACCAAAATGTTGCCAGGAAGAGACACATAATGCGAAATGCATATTGTATTTTTTTTCTAAAGTTTTAACTTTGTTAGACGTACAAGTTTTTATAATGTTTTGTAAATAACAAATGTAACTAGTTTTTTATCTGCAGAACTCTAGTTTACATTCATTCATTGATTATAAATAGTTGTTACATTATATCTATCTAAAAAAATAGGTTTACTTACGTACTAAGCACATATGCGGTACTGTACTCATGCTTAAGTCATTAATAGCAGAGAACGCTCTTATATTTCATAATCATATAAAAGTTGTGATTTGAATGAATAGCTATTTTTTGTCTCTTTAGACCACACGAAAACTTTATAAATATAATACCAACTGGCAATCATACCTCCAGCGCCATCTATGATTTTATATCAATGAAAGTTGCTTACAGAGGGCAGTACGAAGCTGAGGTTGGCAGACTGGCAACCGGCGAACAAAATCGAGAAGCTACAGGAAATCAAGCTAGAGAAAGACCGGTACGTTTTCCCTGCACGGGGAAAGATGGCGTTACGTTCATAATAAATCGTGTAAAAATGCCATCCTTGAAGTTGAGTAGATAGATAGGTATCTACTTACATATTATATTATCTATTATAATTTACCTCTTAGATTGGTTTAAATTAAAATCAGATTAGATTGTCATTGATATATTTCAGACTAATCATTACTACTTAGATGTGTTATTCCAGACTATTATCTACCTCGTATCAGATTTCATTAACAGCCGTTCTGAATTTTTTTTTGAAACTGTAACAAAGATCTATTCGTTCATCCAACTTTCGGTTTTATCGTATTAGTTAGATTGATACTCAGTTTGCAATATAGATATTGTTATTATATTGTTTGGTTATGATATCTGATGGCTTGATTATTAGTTCCACATTCAAAAGTAATTTTGGTAATAGATGGCTTCTATGAGCCAACATGTTTTTTATAACAAGAGAGAGATTATAAAATGGTACAGAACCGAATGCTAAATGTATCTCATGTCACAGGTCCCTGATAAATGACGTGATTAGAAAGACTCTGATAGAAGTAGCAGAGACAGGAAGATGGCAGTCGATCACGAATGCTGTGGAGCTGCTCAAACAGTCGGAGTGTGATGTGGAGTCATTGAAAGTCACTAATCAACGCCTGAAAACGTAATGTAACCTTTTTATGCATTAACAAAACAAAATACTTATTCATAACTGTGACAGTAGCACCTCGATGGTCGAACCAAAGTATTTTATCTTTATTAATACTATAACGAGGTAATTTGTAAGTTTATATGAAGGGGGTAATCTTTGTAACCGCTGGTCGATAGATAGCTACAATGTTCCTGGGTGTTATCTATACTTATACTATAAAGAGGTATGTAAGTTTGTATGTTTGTAAGTTTGAATGTAGGAGGTAGGTAATCGTTGGAACCGCGGGTCGGATTGCCAAAATTCTTTCTCTGATAGATAGCTACAAGGTTCTTGAGTGATATCAAATGGAGATGAGCAGCGGGTGAAACCGCGCTAGAGCAGCTAGTAGGCTATAAAACATTACCCTACGACCCATAGGAGTCACACAGCCGGAGAAACCCCGTTGCACCACTAAGTCTCTAAAATGCCACATTAGCTCTTTGTATTTACTTCACTCACAATGACTACGTACTCGGGGGACTACCCAGAAAGTTTGTTATCAATATAGATCCCTTGTGCAGTATTGCAATTTAAGTATGTAGATTCCTTATAAATTATTTTAGATAACTCCAAAAGGATGCTAAAGTTCTTCCTAATGCAGTTATTTGAAAATGTCTGCCGGTCTATTTCACAATCATGAATAGATTTTTATCCTCGTCAACGAACATAAGTCCCTCGTGAATATACCTAAGTGAATGAATAAGATCTTTATCTTTTACGTTTCAGAAGATAAATAACCTAGCTACTCTCACGCGGTTTCACCCGCTCCAGTTAATCGTAGCGTGATGTTTTATAGCATTCAGGAACATTGTAGCTATCTACCAGTGACAGAATTTTGGTAATCTGATCAGCGGTTCCAGAGATTACCCCCTACATACAAACTTACAAACTTACTAATTTTATCTCTTTATAATATTAGTATAGACATTGCTTCTGATTTCTAGATATAGTTTTGATAAAATATACTATCAATGAATCGCCGTATCGCCATCTAAAAAAAAGCAATAAATAAAGAACCCAATGTTTTCAGAACTCGTAAAGCACTCGCAGCGGAATTGAATGCGAAAAGAAATCAATGGGCGATGGAGCTGCGCAACGCCGATCAGAAAGTAGCTGTTCTTCGAGACAAAATGAGTGTGCGTATATAGATTTCTATGAAAGTGATAATTAGTTGAAGTAATAAACATGCTGATGCTGATAATTCTCAGTAGCGAACGTCGTTTGCGATACGGCCATTATTAATATGAGACCAGTGATGCGTTAATGGGAGCGTAAAACAGAACGCTCGTCGCAGAACATTTGTGAGAAAGTACAATCCTGAACGAAGAGCGTGTGAATAAGTACTCCTCTCCTTCTATTCGTATTCCTAACAAGTAACAATAAATAATAAAATACGTATCTATCAGGTACTAAGATACGTAAGGAAACTTTTTTAAACCGGCGTTAAACAACCTTAGCTTTATGTTTTGCCGTGTGAGTGAGGTTACCGAATGCCCAATCACTCCCCTCACCCTATTCCTTCCCAATCCTTCGACTGCACGGTTGGTGAGGTGGCTGGACAACTGGCTGCCGTGCCACGTGTCGCGGGTTCGATTCCCGCACGGAACAACTCTGTGTGATCCACAAATTGTTGTTCCAGGTCTGGGTGTGATGTGTATGTGAATTTGTATGTATGTAAACGCACCCACGACACAGGAGAAAATCCTAGTGTCCGAAACCTTTATCTCCCTAAGACCGGCAACGAATTCAAAACCCTTTTGGTGTTGCGGGTGTCCATGGGTGGCGCCGATTGCTACCCATCAGGTAATACGTATGCTCGTACAAGTCACATCCAGGATGTATTAAGACTACCAATCTAGTAAAAAGGTTCCTATATAAAATGGACACAAGATTAAGACAAGTCATTTCCAACATGCAGATTTCAAGAAACATACTCAAACTTCATGTGACGGGGGCCAGGGTCAATATTAGGAAAAACCAAATCATTTCAACGTCAGGCAGACCGCCATTATTAGATACTATGACGTCAGCATTAGTAGGTACCTACTCACCTACATAGAAGGTGATATAGGTAACTATATTCTTACGAGAAAGACGCAAATTATTAATTGATGAATCACAATGATGGTAATACAATGTAACAGTTATCTAAAATGGAACGTATTTAAATGGGTAACCGTTATTTAGTAAACATAGTTTTGGATTGCCAGCAGTCAAGCAGTAAACATTTTTAGATTTTGGAGTCAGCATTCCTAACCTATATAACCTTATAAGTTGTTATAAATTATAAAAAAGTTAAGGACATTCCGACAATAATGATATTGATAATATTTATTAAGGCTGACTTTTCAATGAACATATACATATGTGCATAGTGCATATCTATTAAATTTTTATTCGTAGAATAAAATTGACGTTTGAACTTTTTGTAATGAAATAAAGTGCTTTGACATTATGTTTAAAGGATGACCTTCACAATGCAAACACGCGGCTGTGTTACGCAGAAAAATGGCTGTTTGCACGTTTTGAGTCTTTGGAACTGAAGCTGGACGTGCCACGAGCGCCGCCCCCGCGCACCGACCACGAGCAACGGGTCCATGAAGAGTTGCTCAAAGCTTATGAACTGCAGATCAAAGTAAGACAGCCTATGGATTAAAATTAAGTAGGTACTATATCTGCAAAATTAAAAAAAAACATGCGTTAGACTTTACAGAACCATAAATAGGTAATGTATTTAGACATTACACCTTTTTGCTTATAAACTCGTAGGTATCTAACCAATTTTCTACATGAAATCTCACCCACACTAACTATTCATTTTGTTATACATTGGGAGGATAATCTATGACTTCTTGAATAGTCCAGTTAGAACACAAGGTGTGTTGTTGCCCAAACCGGTGGAAACAAATAGGTACAACTACTTACATAAATACACGTATTTAAGTAACTTGTGGTTGAAACAGATCAATTTTCATTAAAACCAATCAAGAAATATCATAGAGTTTCTCAATAATAAATTAATACTTGCAACGGAGTTCGGAAACTTAGGAGTTCCTAGAAAATGAATGAAAAATCGATGTTAAGTACGTACCTACCGACTATTGAATCCAATAACAATAGGTACTCGGTAACGTAACAAACAGTTAGGCTAAGAACTCACGGAGCGATTTTGAACCGTGCCCGCCGCGGTAGCGGAACTGCGGTTTTATTTCCAAACTCACGAGACCGGTTATTTGCGCGGTTACACAGCCGCCGCGGTTGCGATCATCGCCCGCAAACGTGGCGGGCGATGATCGCAAGATTGCAAGACGGGCGGTTAATGATCAGTTGAGGTCCAGACCGCCATGGACACACACCAGAAACGAGCCGTTGCGTTATATTTACTTCACAGAAGACCCGCCGGCCCCCGCGGTCGCTCACCAACCGATCGCAAAGCGCGCGGGTGCCACCCGCCGAGGCTGCGGGTAACCGCGGCCCGCGCGATTCTACTAGTTGCCCGCCGGTACAGCGGGAGCCGCATACAACCGCGTACACCGCGGGCGTAAAACGCGTCGTGAAATGTGCTTTAATTTTTTATATAAATATTTGAATTCTACAGAAGCTGCGGGCCCGCAACCGCAGCGGACGCGGGCGAAAATCGCTCCGTGAGTTCTTAGCCTAAGGAGTTTAATACCAAGAATTTTATTGAAAGGAGCATGAGAAAACTTTGGAATACTGGCGACATCGTTACGACACCGATATTGCTGAAATAAGCTCTAGAAGCCAGAAGAAATTGGAACAGTTGCTCATCGCCACCAGCAAGAGAACTGAACTGCAGAAATTGGTAAGACTAGGCTTTCGGACTAAACTGAGTAGGCACCTCTTTATATATATAATTCTGCTGTACGTGTGTATGTAATTGAACACCTCCTAAACAGCTAGACCGATTTAAATGAACTTTTCTGTATGCGTTTGATTGGCGCCCTGGATGTTGATCACAAATCAGCCCGGCAGATGGCGCTGATTGCTTGAAAAAACAAGTGATCTCGGAAACGAGCCTAACGATTTCGCTGAAATTTAATATGTAGGGGATTTCGGGTAGGGTCTGCTAAATATATAAAGGGAGCATCATGTTCGAACAGTAGTTAACAGTACCTATCTCGCTATGGATGTATAGTATAATTCAAAACCTTAATTCATAAAGTTTTGTACAAGTTTGATCTAAGAATACAGCGTTTAGATACTTAATTTAATAAAAATAAGTTTCATTTTCAATAGTTTACCTAGTGTTTTACTTTTGTATAACTTAAGGTATTATCTACATAATTATTGTAATGTGAAAATGAGTAGGTATGTTTTTCATGACTAAAATAAAAGTTTTCTTCATTTCAGTACGACTTACACGAAGGTGAAATGCGAGGATGGCTAACATTCAAGCGAGAACGGGCCGCTCGTTTAGAGCGCGAAGAGAGGTTACGAAAGTCTGCCATGCGTATACAAGCGTGGTGGCGTGGTGTCATGGTGCGTCGGGCTCTTGGGCAATTCAAATATCTCAAAAATATCAAAGGAAAAGGCAAAAAGAAATAAGACACATTTTGGCGACGATAGTGGTTAAATATAACCTATTAAACATATCGTCCTTAGTAAAAAATGTGTTGTTAAAACAAAATAAACTTTTTGGAAATCATTTAGGTACAGTGTTTTATTTTTATCTGAAAATCATAGTGGTCATAAACTCAACTAATAGGTGGATACCTAAACCATTTTTACTTCATCCAAAATTGTGGAGATAAGTAAGAAACCTATACATAATTTTTCATAAAGTCTTATTTTCGTTACTCAAAGTACCTATGTATGTACTTTTTTTATGGAATAGCAGGCAAACGAGCAGACGGATCACGTGTATGTATGTATGTTTTACCCTAGGTAAAAGGAATGAAATGAATTAAAAAAAAAATGTTAAACAAGGGGACACTTCGGGGTTCAGTTTGTTTTTTTTAGCGGAAAATTGATCCTCCGCTTAGCAAGGCAAGCCGACCCATTAGACCCGAAGCATGTCTTTATCACACTTAATGTAGTGAACTACCTTGAAACATATTAGTAAATATTATTATGGAAAGCGACGCGATCTTTTCTTGGTTAGTTTAGACATTGGAACTACCAATAACGTTCAAAAGTTGTATTACAGAAACACCAACCATCGTTGCTGTCAAAAATATCACTAAATTTTTAAAAACATATACATATCATTTATATAAAGGTCGTTTTTATCGGATGAGAAACCGATAAAAACTTTGCATAATAATTTTACGTTGACTATTAACACATCCTTGTTTTATTGTCTGGGTTAAAGAAAATACTCTTTTACGTATAACGAAACGTTTGTGAATGTCATTTGATTTTGACAGACGTCATCCTCACGTCAGAAGCGTGCCGCTAGGTGTCTGTCGGCTGTCAGATTCAGTCGCATGCGTTTGCTTGTTGTGACCGGTATTATTTGTGGTATTTTTTATGGTGAAAATAAAGTTACCGATGTAAATACTAATAAAAAACGAATTAATTTATTATAAAAACATATGAACTGTTTAACGAGTGTAGTGTGTTGTACTGAACTGTGATAAATACTGTATATTAAGAGTTTGCCGTATATTCAATTCTTGGAAAGTTGGACTGTCATCGAGCAGATTCGGTGAGTAATGCCGTTTATTTTTTTTATTTGTAAAAGCTTTAGATTACATGCCTTGTATGAAATGTAAATGGCGAATAACCGCTATTAAAGTATATGGCTTAGGTACTTTAATTAGCGCGTATAAAAACAGCGTCATTTTTCTCAGAAGTGGTTTAAATAATTTCTCTTAGATTCGCGCAATAATATACTTTCACTTTACATTCAATAATTTTACAAGGTTTAGACCATCCTATACTTTTATATAAAAACTTTTCTTGTAACCAGTAAGGCTTTTTGTTATAAGAACTTGCCCCATTTATGTCTAAAGTGCTTACCTGTTCCTAAAAAATGAGTTTGTATATTAATTTTTATGGACAGGGAATCATTGATGTTTTTCCTGGAAGTTTGCTGGCTAAAGTATTTAGTTATACAGCCAATGTTTAGTAAAAAAGTATTCTCAAAGTTCTTAATAAAGAGCTTTTGTAGGTATTGTATCTGTTTTGTGCATTTAAAAAGAGGGACATGTTTATGCATGTATGATTAGAGTCAGTAAATCTAGAGTATGGAGTATAGACTCTATATTAATTTGTAGTCTAAGAATTAGTTAGTTACTTACTTATAATAGTTAGTTACTTATTACATTACACTTATACTTTGATGTCATATTGCCCTATTATTATGTTATGTATGATAATTTAATGTGCTCTTATTTCTACACACTATACAGTCATGCTGTTCTTTTAAGAGAAATTATTACCTTTGCCCAACAGTAGACAAGAATGTCAACTGATAATTCTAGGCAGCTAGTTATTAACTTTTTTGCAATACAAAGTTGGCTTCAATGATATCCATAGACAAGTATTAATGGTAAATTGTAAAACATTGTACACAAAATACCAACCTTCTTGAATACAAATGTTGAGGTAAAGTCATGAATGGCTGGATAACATTTAAGCACATTTAGATTCAATGTATATTGCAAGGAGCCTTGGCTACCAACATACTATGACATTAATAGTTATTCCAGTATTTATCTTACAATTACAATAATTGCTTGAAACAAATTAAAGAGATGTGTTCCATGAAAAAAACCAGTAACTGCAGTAAAAAACTGAGTAAATTAAAAAAGATACTAATTAAAAAAGCACATGTAAAAATGTGACCGAAAGAGGTGGTTTATGTGGCTGCGGCCGCGGCGCGGTGGCAGCGCACGGAGGCGGTTCGGCGCGCGGTAATTAGTGCGTTAATCGCACTAACCGGGTACACAGTTGATGCAAGTGCGTTTCCGAGAAGCCGATCAGCGGAGCTCGCGGGAGGAGCGGCAAATTGCCGACAGATATGTGTGCCGCCTGTCGGTAATTGCAAAAATCACTCGCCTCACCGCGGAACGAGCTTGTGGTCCTTGTATTACAAGAACAACTCGTGTGTGCAACTACTGTGGGTACGTCTAAATACATACACGTATGTATAGCGTACCTGTACCTCTATACATCATGTACCTGCGGCGTGTTCTCGGATGCTGCCGACTGCCAATATTGGGTTGAAATGAGCACGTAGGTTAAGCGACATGTTTCGTTTATAGCGGTATTATCGGTTCCATGTTATTGCCGATCCCATTCTCAGTAAACTTGATAGCTTTGAAGTCGCAGAAACGAGCGACACCTACCTATAACTGCAACAGATACAGTCACGTATCAATTTATTGTTAGAGTATAGTGATGGATGGATATTTAGGTTAATTCAGTCATATTTTAAAGCTTTACTAAAATCAACCTAATAGCTCTCATGTCAAAATAGTGTTTACATAAACAAAATTTCTATCCACACTCTAACCTACATTTTAAAGAAACGAACAATAACAATAACGTCAATAACTTTCCAACACCTCGAGATCTTCAATCAATCTTGACCCAATTGCTACAGCTACGAAACTAATATGTTTTGAAGAAATAATCTGGTAACTCTTGAATTGTATTGAAGCGAATAATAAATCCCCAGTGACGCGGGATGCACACAATAAACAATGCAATACTAGGAAGGCGGTAATTATCTTGACTCTGCGGTGCCTACCAACATAACATAATATTATTTTAGCCTATATTCAGCAGACCGCGGTCATAGAAACATGAAACAATATAGACTTTTCCATTTGATATAGGACACTTCCATTCACCTATAACTAGAAGTCATTATATCCACATTCTTACCTATTCTGTTAACGACACACCCACAAATTATCGCCGAGGCTTTAACATGATTCACATGTCTTTCATACATCGTAGGAGCACGAACGTTAGGTTTCAATTCTAATAGTTACCTTGTAACTACGTCATTCTACACATGATGCGACCTGTTCTTACTTTTCAGTCATAATGTATTTAGGACATGCCTACTGGTTAATACAAACATGTGGCCTCTTATAAGACCACCTGCGAGAAATGATTTCCAAAAATGGCATTCCTATTTAAATGATAATTTGTATCATAAAAGGAATAAGTGCCAAAGTACTCATAGTTATTTAAACACGTAAATGTATCTACCAAAAAAACTGGCAACTGCATTACCATTAAGTATTGCTTTTCTAAGAACGGCTGTGTTAGGGCCCTGTCACTCGCGCAGTTGCCGATTCGTGGAATTACTTATAACCTAGGTCATTTTATTTAGTAATTCACTCGAAAGATTTTATATTTTAATATTTATAACCAACATTTCGCATCATATTACAGATTGTGTGCATTGATGTCATGTAATGATTGATATAAGTCGTCTTTTCCGAGTCGAGTAAACATGGTTATAAAATAAACACCATTCTAAGCACAACATAACTTTGTTTGCATACTTTGAAGCTAGCTACAACAAGAAACACTAAACTCTCCATTTTTTGCAAATAGCAAGTAGAATTGCCACTAAAACAATAAAAGTTGAACCGGTGTCGCCTTGGTTTTGCTCCCAGGTAATGACAATTTACTCTTTGACGAAGCCGTCACACCGTTCCATTTCTTTTGTCTGCTCTAAGTAATAAAAACCAACTGGTTACGGTATTAAAAGCCACAACAATATCAGGACGAAGGACCGGTAACAATCACAATACTACAAAGTAAGTAGGTAGATACTCGTTTACAATTATACGAATTAATCCTTGTACTTTCTACTGATGTTAGGGCGATTGTTAGTTCATTGTTTGAAACCCGTTTAGTTTTCCAGCAAAATAGAATTACGCACATTCAACTTCTACCATTGTATTTCGGAAAACAACAGTTAGTCGCTGTTAGAAGTTATGAATTATATAATAAATACCATGCGACATATAGGGGTACAAGTTTATGTACTTAGGAGGAAATAATATTTTCATAAGTAATTTATTCAATAGGTCATATTCTTTCCACGCTCCGCAAATTCCATTGTTTACATAGTTACATTAACCTTATTAGTGTAACAACAGTAAGTCACGTTGTCTGGATATTTGAAGTATTAATAATATTCATGAATGAAGGAACACAATTAAGGATAATATATATAATGACATTACAGTTTGAACTTGACGTTATCTAACGTTAGCTAACGGCAAAAAAGTGCGATTGGTATCGAAGGTTGAATTTGAAGGAAAGAAAAAAACCATTTGATCAGTATATACGTACAAGAACTTGCGATTACGTAGGTCTAGCCACTCTACGTATTTGCTTAACTATTATCAATATCACTTAAAGCAGTCACTTCTAAGATCTATTATAATAACTCATTTACAATCCAAATTATGAATATTTAACATTTGCATAGTAGGTTAACAATTAAAGTTTTTTTTATAAAATCTACTGTTTACCTTGTAAGTTTATTCTGTTGGAAATTTCAGCGAAACTGCTTTCAATTCAATGCGCAATACAATCCTAAGAACATGATTCATTTGAACTTGAGCATCCAT